CTGCTCCTGTAAAGATCTATAGGCTCAGAACCCTATGGAACAGTTCTACTCTGTCTTACAGGGTCATGAATTGGAAGCAATTCAAAGGCAGTGAGTAGGTTTATACCATGCATGCACACACCAATGTACACATACACACTATTACAGTCATAAGCACAGACTTATACTCACGCATGCACTCAAACTTACGCTCACCCTTTGCTGCATAAGCCCACCCTCTGCTGCTCTACAACTCCTCCTCCAGAACCCCCTGGGCCTGGCCCCATCTGCTGACTGCTCCTCCTCCCTTTCCTCTTTCCTTTCTATTTATTTTTCTGAGCCAAGATGAACATATTTGGAGATGGATCTATTTTCACCCTATCTGGACACATATTTCCCGTTGCCCATGAGCTTGGCAGATCAGTATGCTGGTTCCTGGCTGCTGGTGTGGTGGCTAGGAATGGGAATAATGGGGGTCTGAGAAGATGCCTGAATGGACAGCAGTGAGCCACAAAGGCAGAAGGGCTATTCAGGATGGTCTGGTCACCCAAGCTAGGGCTGATGCTTCTGAAACCTGAGATGTACACTGGGCAGGCATTGGGCTATAATGGTGATCACCAGGGATTGGCAAACTCTGGAAAGGGCCAGGTAGTAAGTCTTTTTAGTGTGGACCGCCCCTTTTGGAGCAGAGTCTCTTCCTTCATACACATGCTCTGGTGGACAACCCTGGGAGACAGAGCAGAGTGAGCCTTCATGCCTCAAGCAGAGCCCCTTAGCTTTGTGTGTCCCACCACCTGGTAGGTCTGGCACATGGCAGGTGCTCAGTAAATGTTGGCAAAAATCAAAAGAATAAAAAAATGGGCAAAGGATTTGAATAGACACGTCTTCAAAGAAGATATATAAATGAATGACTAAAGAAATGCAAATCAAAGCCACAGAGAGACAACACTTCACACCCACTAGTTTGGTTATAACAATAAAAAAAAAAAAAAGATGGAAAATAACAAATGTTGGTGAGGATGTGGAGAAACTGGAACCCTCATGCACTGTTGAGGGGAATGTAAAATGGCACAGCTGCTTTGGAAAATAGTCTGGCAGTTTCTCAAACAGTTAATCATAGTCACCAAATGACCTAGCAATTCCTCCTCTACATATGCTGATTTTGTCTTTGCTAAGGATTTTAGAGGGGGGTCTATGGATGGAGTCCTGGTGTGGCGCTGTGACTTAATGCACCAGACTGCAAGTCATTTGAACTACAAGCTCGGTGGTTCAAGCTCACCAGTCACTCCTTGGAAACCCTATGCAGGGTCGCTATGGGTCGGAACCAACTTGACAGCACTTCACAACAACAATGGATGGTGCAAATGGTTAAGAGCTTGGCTACTAACTACAACAAGGTCAGCAATTCAAATTCATCCAGAGGTACCTCAGAAGAAAGGCCTGGTAATCTACTTACAAAAAGGAGTTATCCTCCTACTCACTGTTGTTGAGTGGATTCTGACTCGCAGCAACTCTATAGGACAGAGTAGAATTACTCTATAGGGTTTCCAAGATTTTAAATCTTTACAGGAGCAGACAGCCTCATCTTTCTCCCGCAGAGTGGTTGAAATCACCAACCTTGCCGTTAGTAGCTCAATGCTTAACTGAAAGGTTACAGTCATTGAAAACCCTATGGAGCGAGTTCTCCTCTCATACTCATGTGGTCACGAATTAGAATCTACATGATGGCAACTGGTTTGGTTCAAGAGCTTTAGAATACATAGTACCTATATTCAAATTCTGGTACACCATTCACTAGCTGTTTGCAAGTCCTTTAACCTCTCTGAGCCTCAGTTTCCTGGTCTGCAGAATGGGAATAATAATAATGTCCATTGTTAGGGCTGACTTGGGAATTAAATGAAATTACAAAAGTCGAGCACCTAACACAGTACCTGGCATATGGTATGGGCTCCACAAACGTGGACTATTTAGTGTTATAACTGTGTTCTCGTGTCCAGGGATACCTGAGGAGCAGAGCCTTGAGGTCTTACTGCCAGAAGGAACGTTGATGGTTCTAATGGTAACCCTCTGGGTAGCAGGAAGCCTTGGTAGGGGTGGATCCTGCTTCAGGATGCCTTGCCACCTAGTGGCTGGTGTGTGGGGCTGTGCCACCCATGCTACCTAGTTGAGGTCCTCAGCCCCACTTGTCATAGCTTCCACCCTGCATCCCCGCCCACTGGCAGTCTCCCTGCTGTCTGCTGCCTTGGGAGTCTAACTGGTCTGGCACCAGTCCTGGCATTTTCCTCCAGCTTTGTAATAAAATAGCTGGCATAGACCAGATTTACCTGGCAGGAAGGCTGCCTGGCACAGAAAGCAGAAGACAGGGTGGTGTTTACAAAAAGGATCACTTGCTCCCCAAACCAGGTGACCCCTAGAAGACAGCTGTCATTCCTTTTCTTTCCTTTCCTAGTCCTTCACCATTCATTCAATATTTAAATGTGGACTATGTGCCAGGCGCTGGGCTATTAGGGTGATCACCAGGGATTGGCAAACTCTTTCTGTAAAGGTCCAGCTTTGTAGGCCAAATGACTGCTGTTGTAGAAAAAAACTAGCTATGGTGTTCTTGTTAGGTACCATCGAGTCAGCACCGACTCATAGCGACCTTATGCACAGCAGAATGAAACACTGCCCGATTCTGGGCCAACCTCACTACCATCCATCGATGCTGCCACTTGGCCAATCCATCTCGTTGAGGGTCTTCCTCTTTTTCTCTGACCCTTAACCATACCAAAGACGATATCCTTGTCCAAAGTATGAGAGATGAAGTTTGGCCATCCTGGCCTCCAAGGAGCACTCTGGCTGCACTTCTTCCAAAACAGATCTATTGGTTCTTTTAGCAGCCCGTGGCACTTTCAAATATTCTCCTCCAAAACCATAACTCAAAAGCATCAATTCTTCTACGGTCTTCCTTATTCACTGTCCAGCTTTCACATGCTTATGAGCTTATTGAAAATATCATGGCTTGGATCAGGCGCACCTTAGTCCTCAAGCTGACATCTTTGCTCTTCAACACTTTAAAAAGGTCTTGTGCAGCAGATTTGCCTAATGCAATATATCATCTGATTTTTGACTGCTGCTTCCATGAGTGTTGATAGTTGATCCAAGAAGAATGAAGTCCTTGACAACTTCAGTCTTTTTTCCATTGATAAGAATGTTATTTGTTGGTGCAGTAGTGAGGATTTTTGTTTTCTTTACATTGAGATGGAATCCATACCACTGCACTAGGTGGGCTGCTCTTCTACCTTTTTGAAGCTCAGGGGCCTAGTCAGAGACACATATTCTAGTCTCTTCACTACAAAAGCAGACCTTGCTGACAAGTATAAAAGGGTACAAAGTGCTTTAGGGGTAGGTGCTGACTTGGAAGACAGTGGGGCCTGGGAGGTGGCAGAGGGGTGCTGTCAGAGAAGACACACTGGGCAGAGAGGACTACAGGAGGGAAGGCCAGTAGGGCAGGGCTTGTTTGGAGAATGTTAAGGACCCCAGAATGGCTAGAGCCTAGAATGTGTTGGGAAAGGTGCCTGAGAAAGTAGGTTGAAGCCAAATCATGGAAAGTCTCAAAAGAAATTAGGAAAGACTGTATGTCCTAGGATGTAGTGCTGTGGGCTAATGTGCTGGACTGCAAAGTTGGTGTGAACCACAAGGTCAGCAGTTTAAGCTCACCAGTTTCTCCTTGGAAACCCTATACAAGGTCACTACAGGTTGGAACTGACTCAACAGCACTTAACAACACACTAGATAATAGAGACACCTACAGAACAATAGCTGACTACATACATTGGATGCTTTTTGTCTTATAAAGCGCTTCCTGTGCATTCTTTCATTCCACAATCATAACTGGCAGCATGCAGGAAAGAGCAGGAAGCTTAGGATCAGAAGTCGGGGGTCCACTCTACGTGGGTGGATTTTAACAAGTCACTTCACATTTCTGTGTCTTACTTTACTCATCTCTGACAACAGGCAACAGGGTCCAATTCACACTGCTTTAGGAAAGTTTACACAAGACTAGACATGTGAAAATGTTAGATTCAACTTCTGGTCCTCAACTCTTCCTCTGTAAGATGGGAACAAATCCTGTCAGCTTAACTCAGGGGGTGGTGGCTACAATTTTGTAAGAGAAAGCAAAAATCTTATTAGCAAGGCAAGTACGTTGTTGTTAAAGTCTCATAGAGTCGGTTCCCACCCATAGTGACCCTGTATAGGGTTTCCAAGGAGTGGCTGGTAAGCTTGAACCACTTACCATGTCATGTAGTGCAAACCAACTTTTCAGTTCAGTGATTAAACCCACAGCACCACACCAATGTACTCTCCTTTAGCAGATGAGGATGGGGAAGTTAGTCCTTCTTGGTTAGTGGGCTGAGAGCCTGATGGTGGTGGTGGTTATGTGTCGTGGGGTCGGAACCAACTCATAGCGACCCTGTACAGGGTTTCCAAGGCTGTAAATCTTTACGGGAGCAGAAAGCCTCATCTTTCTCCCGCGGAACAGCTGTAGTTTTGAACCACTGACCTTGAGGTTCGCAGCCTGATTCGTAACCACTACACTACCAGAGAGCCTGATGAGAGGCTCTTAACTACTTAAACAGTATCTCTGAGTACTAATCATAGTTACTTATTGGGACAAGCTCGCTGAAAGACAGCAAAGACTGTGGCGTACGTGCCCTGACGGGCCTGAAACCGGTTCATTTTTATTGTTGTTGTTAAATGCCGTTGAGTCGATTCAGACCCATAGCGACCCTGTCTAGGGTTTCCATGGAGCGCTGGTGAGTTTGAACCGCCAGCTTTGTGGTTCAAACAACTTTGCAGTCCGGCGCATTAACCCACAGCGCCACACCAGTACTCCTTTAAAGGACCAGAGATTATTGCGCCCTGCCCCTAACATCTCAAAACCACCAATCAGCGAATCTGTCGTTTTGTGACGCTATCTTCCTACGACGGAGCTCGGTCGCGGCTGCGTTTCCCCGTGACAGAACCGGGATCCTGAAGCGATGGGCAGCCAGGAGGTGCTTGGCCAGGCGGCCCGGCTGGCCTCTTCCGGTCTCCTCATGCAGGTACCATCTGCTTGGCCGGCCTCCTGACTGTTCTGTATCTGGGATTCGCGGGAGGTAGTTCTGGGGCCTCTGAGAAACCGTCCTGAGCCATCCTAAAGTGGGCCTCGCTACAAAGGGGTCTGCAGGAGGTGGCTGCGGCGATGAGGGCGCGTCTTGGTGCTTGAGTTGGGATTCCTTTCACAGGCCTGACTGGAAGACTGCACACAAATCCATTTCTTTCTGAGCCTTTTCCCCATATGGCACTGTGAGAGAGGTCTAGTGTCGGGGAGCATTTCGTGCTTTAGAATCTGCTATATTTAAGGCAAAGGGTTCATTTCTTTTGGCTCCCACCCCTGTCCCACAAACCACCTCAGACTGACTCCCCCAGAATTCAGAGAGACTACCAAACGTTGGTTAGGCTGGTATGGATTAGAATCCTGCTTCCACCTTACACTGGCTGCACACGTGACCCAGGACAAATGACTTCACCTTTAGCTTCAGTTCCTGATTAGTAAAATGGGTAATAGTACCTAGCTCATAAAGTTGTTGTGAGTATTGATAAGATCATTCAAATAAAAGCATTTTAATACTATTAAGTAGCTGGCTGCATCTTCCTTCTGGCTGTGGGCCCCTAATTTCCATCATTTGTCAGAGAATATGGTAGATGCCAGTTGATCCAAATGGTATCTAAAGAGTCAACTGTAGAAGCTAGTCATTCCAAGTCAAGGGGCTCAGTTTCTCTATGTTGCGCTCCAGACCCTTTCAAACCTCGTCTACCACAGCCCTGAATTCTCCCACCCTCCATATTACAGAGACAGTGTCTGACATGCACATTAGGAGAAAGAACCAGGCTGACTTGGGCTTGCCACTTGCTAAATGCCTGCCCTTGGGAAAATCATTTGACTTCTTTGAACATCAGTTTCCTCATCTTAAATGAGAACTATAAGTCAGCCTCATAGGGTCATTAGGAAGAGTCGACGAAATCACATCTGGTAAGTGTGTGCTGCCGAGTCAATTCTGATTCATAGTGACACCTGTATGACGAATAGAACTGCCCTATGGGGTTCCTAGGCTATAATCTTTATGGGAGCCAATCACCAAACCTTTCCTTCTGTGGAGTTGCTGGTGGGTTCTGACTGCTGACCTTTTGGTTAACAGCCAAATACTTAGTCATTCATTGTGCCACCAAAATACCTGGCGTGTTACAAGTACTTAATAAATGTTGTTGTTGTTGTTGTTAAGTGCCTTCGAGTCGGTTCCGACCCATAGCGACCCTGTACAGGGTTTCCGAGGGTGTAAATCCTTACGGGAGTAGAAAGCCTCATCTTTCTCCCGCGGAGCAGCTGGTAGTTTTGAACTGCTGACCTTATGGTTTGCAGCCCAATTCGTAACCATTACGCTACCAGAGCTCCTTAATAAATGTTGTTAGTTGCCATCAAAGTTATTCCGACCCCTGGTGATCTCATATGTGCAGAGTAGAACCATATCATATAGGGTGCTCAAGGCTATGACCTTTTGCAAGCAGTCAGTCAGAGCTGTCTTTGGAGGCACCCTTGGGTAGATTCGAACAACTAATCTTTTGGCTAGTTGAGTGCTTAACCATTTGTGCCACCCAGGAACTTAATAAATGTTAGCTTTCCTAGTGTGGTGCTGTAGAATAAGCAAGGTCGGCAGTTCAAACCCACCAGCTGTTCCTTAGAAACCCTATACAGGGTCTCTATGAATCCGAACCAACTTGACAGCACTTTACAACAACATTTTTATTAAGGCAGTAATAATCCTGGTAGGATAATCACTGGACTGCTAATTACAAGGTTGGCAGTTCAAACCCACCAGTCACTACACTGAGTTGTTTTAAGTCAGAACTGACTCAACAGCACTTAACATGTTGATGTTTTATTGTGAATTATGTGATAGTTTACATGGGACAACATTAGTTTTACATTCATCCTATCGTATATCGTTTCATTACCATGGTTACAACCCCTCCATGCATCATCAACCAACCAAAGGGTATACCCTACAAGCCTGCACCCCGGTCGTCAACACACAGCCCCTCTCCCTCTCTGTGTCTAAAGTCCCCAGCTGCTCCATCTCTACGTGCCATCATATCTGCCTCCATCTCTGGCATCGCTGCTTCTCTGGGTAGGGTCCTAGTCTCCACTCTTCTCCCTTGATGGTCCCAGGGACCTCCGCTCCTCAACTGCAAAGTTAATCACTCCCCTTCTTGCTACAAAATGTCTACCTTTACATTTCCAACCCTCACAATCAGTCCTGATAACGATTATTCCCTATTTTATCACTAGAGACCTATCTGCATTTCCTATCATCAGCCCCGCCCAGACAGATTGGATACTACTCAGTGGAGATTCTACCTTCCTCCACACCCTCTGGCTCTAGATTTTTCATTTCTTCCTGAAAGCTTGTAAGCCAGTCACTTCTTGCCTTTGTAGGCCCCCCTCCCCCCCACTTTGGGTAGCCAATGTCCAAGTTGCCCATCGCCGTCTACTGTGTGTATGGAGGTGGTGGGAATGACCCTTACTATAAAGATTTGTTCTCTCTTTTGAGCTACTGCTTCCATAAGTATAGGCCAAGTTCATCAAATTGTATCAGATTACTCTTTTTTCCCCTCTTCTTTCTTCTTCTAGTTGAGCTCTGATCTTCCAGTCATTGAAGCCAGGTCAAGTGGGTATTGATCTGCACGTATGGGTGTTCCTGTGCATATTCCCTCTCTTCTTATCAGCTGGATGCTTCACTCTCCACTCTAGTCCTCTGTGGCTATGTCACTGACTCTGGGCCCAAGAGTTCCCAGGTCTTGCCACACTGCTAGCAACCAGGTCTCCACCTGGGTTCACAGGAGTCTATTGAATGTTGTAGGACTTAGCTCGCAGCTTCACTGCTGTTTTTCCCTTACTTCCCCTTATCGGTGGCAAACGTGGTCACCAATCAGAGCGTTTATTCCCATTGAGTCTTAATCTTGGAAAGGGGTTTGTCCTGAGGGGACCCAACCACTTGCCTTGATGTCTCCTGGTCGAGCAACTTGCTTGTTCTTGTAGTAATCAGTCAGTCTGCCTATGTTGTTTTGTATTTTTCCTGTCGGTCTTTCTTTCAAGAAATATCTTCTGTTCTTCTAGCCAACATAATGATTTTTTTAAACCATAAGGGATGAAATGAGATAATCCATGTAAAGAATATAGGAGTGCCTAGCATTCATAATTGCTTAATTGTTGTTAGCTGCCATCATTTTGACTCCAGTTCACGGCAACACTCACGGCAACCTCATGTGCAACAGAATGAAACATTGCCTGGTTCTATGGAATCTTCACTCGCCAGCATGTTCAAGTATATTGTTGTGGCTGCTATGCCAAGCCACCTCATCAAGGCTTTCTCCCTCCCTTATTGGCCCTCTCCTTCACCAAACATGATGTCCTCCTCTAGCAATTGATCTCTCATAACATCCAAGCAAGCAAGTCAGACACTGCTCTTTGTGAAGGTTTTCATTGGCTCATTTTTTAAAGTAGACCACCAGGCCTTTGTTTCTCATCTATCTTAGTCTGGAAGCTCTGCTTAAAACCTGTCCATCTTGGGTGGTAACACTGCTAGTATTTGAAATACTGGAAGCATAGCTTCCAGGATTACAGCAATATGCAAGCCACTATAGCACAACAAAGTGACAGGTAGGTAGGTGGTGTGGTGGTGGTGTGCCACCAAGTCAGTTCAGACTCAGAGACCCTGTATAGGGTTTCCAAGACTAAAAATCTTTACAGGAGCAGAAAGCCTCATTTTTCTTCTGTGGAGTGACTGCTGACCTTAGCAGCCCAGTTTATAATCCATTATGCTACCAGGGCTCCTTGGACTTCTGGTATGGTGGTAAAGGATCAGCACTGTACTGTGAACAAAAGGTTGGCAGGTCAAACCCACCACCTGCTCCTCTGAAACCCTATACAGGGTCGCTGTGAGTTGGAATTGACTCAACGGCACTTAACAGCAACCAGGGCTCCTTAATTAAGAGTATACCATTCAAAGAACCCTGGTGGCACTGTAGGTTAAGCATTGGGCTGCTAGCCACCTGCTCCATGGGGGAAAGATGAGACTGTTTGCACCTGTAAAGATTGTTAGTCTTGAAAACCTTAGGGAGCATTTGTACTCTGTTCTGTAGTCAATTTGATGGCGTTGGTTAATCATGTTAACTATTCTCATGGTGAGAGCCCTGGCCATGTAGTGGGTTACGCGCTGGGTTGCTAACCAAAAGGTCAGAAGTTTGATTCTATTAACTGCTATCTGCTCCTGTAAAGATCTACAGCCTCGGAAACCAACTCGATGGCACACCACCGCCACCACCACCACCATTCTCATGATGTATTTTTATATCTTAACCCGAATTTTACTTAACTTTTTTCCCCCCTCTTTTATTTTATAACATAAATAACTGTTTTGAGTTCATTGCTTTATCCATGCTGTTGATTGTTTAACTTGCTCCCCAGACTGGTTTTTTAAAAGAAAAATAAGCTGTAGTACAAAACACGTAGGACTAGGAATCAGGTGACCTTACCAGCAAGGTAAATAATTAATAGATGTGAAAGAGCTTTAATTGTGAATTAATTGATAGTTTACATGGCATAACATTGATTTTGCACTCAACCAATCGTATTTTGTTTCATTGCAATGATTACAATCCCTGAAAGAGCTTTTCTTAAACTGTAAAGTCCTTTACAAAAGAAAATGAAAACTGTTGCTTTTAAATTCCTCTTTGTGGAACAAATGCTGGGTGGCAAGAGTGACCTTAGAGTTTCATTAGCTGCAACCTTAGTCCAGACCAATTAGATATAGCTATAGTCTGGAACATTGTGTCTAAGACAGTGGTGACTGTAATTGTGAGGTTAACGTAAGTGTGTGTATGTGGTTTTGTGTTTTAATCTTGTGGCATGAAGCACGGTGGATCTGTAGGATAAGCACTGAACTGTGAACCACAAGTCAGTGGTTTGAGCTCACCAGTCCCTCCTCAGGAGAAAGATGAGGCTTTCTGCTCCTGCAAAGATTTACAGTATTGGAAACCCTGTACATGGTTGCTACGAGTTAGAACCGATTTATGGCACTTACCAACAATAATCTTTAAGCTTCTTGAGTGTTTTAATTCAGCCATATATGCTTTCTAGATTATAGAAAATGTAGTCGTTTTGCTGTTACATGTTATTTTGTAATAATTTCAGAGTTTATTCTGTTTTAATTATTTTTTTATCCAAGGGACATACATCACCTACCAACATTTTGAGCTTCTCACGTTTCTTGCGATACTGCTATCCCAGATGTATTGCATACTGCTGCTTATTGTTCCGGGACCTGTGTAACTGTGTGATTTTAAAGAAATGGGATTTACCCCACCAATCCTACCGCCAGAATCTACTTGGAACATACTCATATGTATGCTGTATAATTTTATTAAAATCCATATTACCTCAAAAGTTTTTTTTCCTCTTGATTTCAGTATGCCTTTTGGTACTGAAAATACATGGTATCAACATAAAATTCAAAACAGAGCCTGCCCAGTAAAGGTTAACTCTTAAGCTGATCATGTTAAAAACATGAATGCCATTCATTTGTCTGCATTTTTCAAAAATACCTTCACCTTTACAATCTCATTTGATCCTTTTCACCAACCCTGTGAGATGGTAGCCTCCTTTGCTAGAGGAGGAAATTGAGGTCTATAACAATCAGAAGACTTTGCAATGAATTACAGCTGAAAGGCGAGTCAGGCCTCTGAGCTTTCTCCATTAAGGAAGGCTCCATGAACTGACATCATTCTTCTAACACTGAGTGCAAATTTTCATGTGTGTGAATATACGTGCATGTTTCTAAGGAGAGACTACAAACCTTTCACTGGATTCTCAGAAGGTCACCTTAGACCTGAAAAGGTTAAGAATGTGATATCTTAAGCTTTGGAGACCTTGCCCCTCAGTGACACTTCAGGGATAATGTCATGTACCCTCCCTTCTTGATCATTACCTTTCCCTGGAGATTTTCAGACTAGTGGCTCCTTGGCATACTTTGAATTTTCCAGATTGTAGCCGCTCATGTGTAAGCCCTAGAATGCTTGACGCATAGTGATTTTTCATTTCCTCTGGCGGGCACTTGAATTACACCTGTGGTGTTGCTGGGTTGCACAGGGGGTGTTCTTTAGTGAGTGAGGCTTGTACCCAGCCAGCCACCCCATTTAACATCCCAGTCTAATTGCAACGCTATTGTTCTCTAGGGCTCATGGGAAGAATTCTTTGCTCAGGTGATTTTCTTGAACTGACAGCGTTTTAAAGTTTCAGGATGTATCTCCCTCCGTAAACGGCAATAGCTAGACTCCCCCTTTCCCTTTGGATTTTATTTATCTTATTATTGCAGTTGTCCTTTTAAAAGTACTTCATTTAAAAGGTATTTCAGCTCCTTTCAGGAAAGTGGCAGATATGTAGTAAACAAACACAACCTTTTCTGTTTTCTAATTGAGAAAACCGAAGTTCGGAGAGATTAACTCTCATTATTGAAATCCCTAGATAATACTAGGCAAGGAAGAAAGGGAAATTAGACTCGTGATTTCTAGTGAGTCTGCTATGCCTCGCTTGCTAAGTGTGTGTTATTGCTAAATAGGCTGAGGGTTTTCTGCTAGAGGGAGGGCAATGTGGACCACTACGTGGAGTTCTTTTTCTGCCTCCTGAAATGCCTGACTTTGAACATGAAAAAACTCACTATATCTCTCAGGGCTTCTTTTTTCGCATGAGTAAATGAAGGATATTTCCAGGTGCTTTCCTGGGTTCTTTGCTGCACAGGAGCCCCCCTGGAATGAAGTTTCAGAAGAAATGCAGACAGACTGAGCATTTTAGAGAGACCCGCCGTGGTCAGATTGCCATGTGCGTCATTACATCATATTAGGGAGAGCAGCTACATTAGTCTCATCTCAGCAAAGGAAATGCTTCAACACAATTTATTCTTACACAGTTTTTGTTCTTTTTCTGTAGGTGGTGTTTCGATTGATCACCTTTGTCTTGAATGCATTTACTCTTCGCTTCCTTTCAAAGGAAATTGTTGGCATAGTGAATGTAAGGTAAGAAGGATGTACCCTGGCTCCTTCTACAACTCACATCCCTAGTCAGCCTTTCTTCAAACTCTGTACTTGTTGCCCTCAGATTTGAGAAGCATGCATTTTCCCCAGAAGTGAGTGTTTTAGCAGTGGGCTGAAGAAAGACGTGCTGGGGAAAAGGAGGGTGGTGATGCAGATGACTGGGTGATGTTGCTTTTAATGGACCCATGGGGTGTTTTTCCATTAGCAACCTCCAACTGCACATTTCTCTGCCAGCTGTTCCGGTTTGCCTGCTCTTAGAATTCAGGGGAGGAGTGGGAGTAAGTCGTTGCCAGCCCCAATCTCAGGTATAATCCTGCTTTCTTGTCCTGCTGTCAGCAAAGGTAGCAGGAGTTCTGTAGTTTATGAGGATGTGCTGCATAATTGCAGGGCTGGAGCCACCACCTTACCTCCCTCTTTGGTACTTTCTGATGGGGAAACAGTAATCAGCATGAATGCACAAGTTCTTGTTGTGAATTCCTTGGTGGCTCCTGGAAAGCAGACTGCCTTTGTCTTTCAGACTCAGCTTGTCTCTTCTACAGTCCTGCTCACTCTTCATAAACACCCACACATGTTTTTCATGCCACAAAAGTATATGAAATGATGTGGATGCTTAGAGTAGCTCAACTCTCTCAGGTCTGTCTTCATGTCCTGATAAACAAGACAGTATGTTCCAGAAAGATTTCATGCTTAACACCATCAAACATACGTTCTTGGCTCTGTTCTCAGTGGCAGTTCTCAAATCTAGATGGGCAAATGAATCAGATGGGGTGCTTTGCACTAGACAGGGGTAAGGAGCAATCTGGGAATCTGAACAAGCTCCTGAGGTAAATTTGAAGCAGGGACTATATGTATA